TTTTAAAAAATCTTTATAAAAAAAAGAAAGATATCTTTAAAAAGACAAGACTAGTAATATGCAAACAAGAGAAATAGTCATTCCCAAGTTTAACCGTGTACTCTCTGAGGAAAAGAGTTAACCTGAATAGGTATAAGGAAGTAGAATTGGAGTTTCTAGTTCCATTCTTATTTCTGAGGCAGAGCATAATGCTCAGGCCTGAAATATCTCAGATTTCCTAAAACCATGAAAAGAATCCTGCACTAAATTTATAAGGAAATGGTGATTCTTTCCTGTGAGCAGATTTGACTCTTCTGAGTTTGAAATGGGGAGTCAAGGGTTATGGAAAATAATACTCCTACAAAATAGCTTCCCAGTGGGGGCTGGGGATGTGGCTCAAGAGGTAGCATGCTCGCCTGGCATGTGTGCTGCCCGGGTTCGATCCTCAGCACCACATACAAACAAAGACGTTGTGTCCGCCGAAAAACTAAAAAATAAATATTAAAATTCTTAAAAAAAAATAGCTTCCCAAGAAAAAATGGAGGGACAGTGTGGCTCAGGAGGAGGGAGGGAAATTAGCCAAACATTAACAATGGGCCCTGAGGAAAAAAACAAACTTTCATCCCTTCCTGGGTTCATCCCCAGCATCTCCACCAAATGCAAACATTTACCCCTTCCCACCCACAATGGGTCCTGAGGGAAGGAGGCAAATACTGAAACACTAGGCCCTGGACTTTTACCCTTTCCCATTGCAGATGAGTTCTGGAAGGAGTAAAGCAAATAGTGAATCTCTAGATAACAATGGGTCTCAGAGATACGCAGTGAACACCTAGTTGTGGGCTTTTCCCAGTGACAACAAGTTTAAAACTTTTTACAACTGCCTTCCTGAGTTAAAATTTTAACCTGCACAACTAGGTCCCTGTCTGTCCAAACTGCATGTCCACCATCCCCAGTGATTAAGTCACCCTCACTGTAAACTTAACCCAAATTCCTTCTGTAAACCCGGAAGTCAATTTCCCATACCCAAAAATGAGCCCTCCTGTGCCTAATTGATTGACTTCGCTGAAGAATAAAGGAAAGCTTGCTGATCCAAAGTTTGCTTCCCCTTTCCTGCCTCCATCATTTGGTCGCCATGTGCTTACAGGGAGTACAATGGTAGGAGAGAGAGACAAGTCAGAAGTGAAGTAAGCCTCCCTGATGGAGGCCATTGTTGGTAAGGCCTAAACCAGGAAGCAACTTCCATTCGGCTGTAGGGGTGCCTGACCTCCATGGACACCTCTATTTTTCAGTATGATGGTCCCAAATGTTTGATCTGGAGGAGTCCAACAGGCTAGGTAAGGACAGGGCTTGCCTTTTCCCTCTTCTTTGGGACCTTGGAATGTGAAAGTAACCTGCTAACAATAATGAAAATTTCTAAAATGGATTCAATTTTTAATAATTTTATTTAATAAATCCCAATGATTAAATCATTTTACCTGATTATGTTTCAGTTTATTTATTATAAAATTATAGGTTCTGTTATAGTTTGGATCTGGAATGTCCCCTAAAAGCTCATGTGATAAAATCTTGATCCCCAATGCAGCAAGGTTCAGAGGTGGGGCTCTTAGGAAATGATTGGATCATGAGGGTTTGGACCTCATTATGGGAGACCAACCTTGCATGTGACTGAGTGCAAGCTAAGAGATTGAGACACTTGGCAGACTGCCCCACCCTTCCTGGGTTTGAGGGACCGTATCTTCGTGCATGGGCATGTCTTCCTAGAGCCCCATGGATGGAGCTATGCTCACCTATTTCTTTGTAATATTCCCCCTTGCTCTGTTTGGGATAGAATGTTCCATGGAAATGCCATTTGTGTGCCCCCTTATCTTACTGTGCCCTTGGGTGTGGCCTACCTATATGTCAGTCAACCTGCTGACAGCAGACATCCTGAAGCTAGACTCAGCCCCCTGAAACCTGACCCCTTGCCTCATTTGAATAGCTTCTCCTCAATAAAAGGGGTCAGCACAGGCAGTCTCTCTCTCTCTCTCTCTCCCCGCCCCCCCCTCTCTCTCTTCCTGAAGACCTCGAAGGTCAGAGGAGTGACCTCTGAGTGTTTTAGTCGTGAACAAAACCCGGCAAATCATCACTGGATTAATTCATTTGAAGGATTAATATATGATAGCTGAATGAACTACAACTTGGAGATGGAAACTAGTTGGAGGAAGTAAGTCACTAGGAACATGTCCTGAAGGGTTTATCTTGTCTCTAGCCCCTTTCCCTTTCTTTTCTTTGCTTCCTAGCTGCCTTGAGCTGAGCAGCTTTCCTCCACCATGCCTTCCACCATTATATTCTCCCTCACCTCTCACCCAGAGCAATGGAGTCAACAAATCATGGACTAAGACCTCTGAAATCATAAGCTCCAAATAAACTTGTTAAACTCCTTTAACTTGTTTTTATCAGGTATTTTGGTCACAGCAATACAAAGTAGCTGACTAACATAAGTATCTCTCTACTTACACTTTCTCAAATAGATTATGAGATCTAATCAATCAAGATAGATGACACTGAGAATTTACAGAAAGAAATGTAATATGGTGCTGAATTGTATTAATATTTTTATCTAAGCATTATAACTTTATTACATTTAATTCTTATAATCCCAAGAGTTTTGTATGACATCTGTTCCACTTAAATGTGTTCTACAAAATTCACGCATCCTAATACATTCCCCATTACACACAACTCAGATCAATCCTTTAGCAGAATAGATAGTCCTTTAGCAGAACAGATAGATGCAACATTAAAACTCTAGTCCTTGTCAGATTCATCTATTCCCACCCACATCCTGTCAGCCATCTCTCTCAGATTCCACAAAAAAAAAAAAAAAATGAGAGGGAGGAAAAGAAGTTAAAAAAAAAAAAAACAGCAGGCAGTTAACTACACTGTTTCCTCATTTGGCTGATGATAACAAATAGGACACACATTCTCAGTTATCATACAAATAATTTCCTCTATTGAATCAGTTCATCAAATATTTCTAGAACACCAACAGCCCAGGTTTATGCCTGGTGCCTTGGAGAACACGTGGCAAGAACAAAAGACCCACACTTGGTGGTTTTACAAGAAGGTTAAGAAGACAAGCCCAACAAAGAAATCAATGGAAGAGCAATATAAGATGTTACTCAATGATATGGTAGTGAAAAGTATTGTAGAAATTCAAGGTTATATAATGTTTGTAATGTAAGACCAGGTGGCAGCTAGATGATGTTTAATCATAAAAGGACATTGTTAAATTTGGAAATCAATCTTCTGTTAATATGATTACTGGGAACTCATAATCATACCTGTAATCCCAGCAGCTTAGGAGGCTAATACAGGAGGATCGTGAGTTCAAAGCCAGCCTCAGCCATAGTGAGGTATTATGCAATCCCATGAGACCCTATCTCTAAATAAAATACAAACGGCGCTGGGATTGTGGCTCAGTGGTTGAGTGTCCCTGAGTTCAATCCCCAGTACCCAAAAAGAAAAAAAAATCTATACAATTTATGGAAACTATAGGATCTATAGAAACAACATTGTGGCTGACATTTGTATAATTTTCAAAACATTTTTGTATTGAAAAACCAGCCTCTATCTCAGAGCAAAGCCTGTTCAAGGAAGGGACATGGCCTTTGTCCTTGGAAAAACCCACAGAGCACTCCTAAGCACATTCCGACCCTGCTAAGTTGTTTATCTACAAATAACAGGAGAGATCTGCTGTGCCAGGTGTCCCAGACTCAGTCAGGCTAGGTGGGCACCCATAGCAACCCCCTAGCAGCCACCAATCAGCATGAGACAGGGAAATACCTGGGATGCCAGATGACCCTCCCAGTAGTTTATGGTGGTTGATAACATGTTGGAAAACCATGTAGTTCAGCACGAGTACACCCCTCTTGGCTTAAATCAATCAGTTCAAATGAATACCCCTTTTGTACTGACCAATCACCCCTACCCAACTTGTTCCCGCCAGTGAATGTGCTAATCATGTTTTAGAGTTGTTATTTGATTTTCCGGTGGTGTGTGATGATCTGCTATGATATATGTGAAGTCCCTGCCCTGTCCAAAGAATGTATAAAACTGCTGCAAACCCTGGGCTCGGGGCCTCTCAGTGTCACCAGTTGCTGTGTGTGTGTGCGCGCAGATGACCGAGCTAGCTCGCAATAAACACCTCTTTGCTGCTTACATCAATCTTGGGTCTCTGGTGGTCTTTGGGGGTCCCGAATTCGAGCATAACAGTATTTCTCATCTAATTGTTAAAATACCCTGGGAAATAAACAGGAAAAAAATCTATTATCATGGCTTTTGTCAAGGAAACTAAGGCTCAGAATAGTCAGATTGTTATGCTCGAATTCAGGACCCCCAAAAGACCACCAGAGACCCAAGATCAAATGTAAGCAGCAAAGAGGTGTTTATTGCGAGCTAGCTCGGTTATCCGTGCATGCACAGCAACTGGTGACGCTGAGAGGCCCAGAGCCCAGGGTTTGCAGCAGTTTTATACATTCTTTGGGGAAGGCAGAGACTTCACATACATCATAGCATCTCTTAGCAAATCATCACACACTGCGGGAAAATCAAATAACAACTCTAAAACATGATTAGCACATTCACTGGCGGGAACAAGTTGGGTAGGGGTAATTGGTCAGTACAAGAGGGGGATTCATTTGAACTGATTGGTTTAAGCCAAGAGGGGTGTTCGTGAACTACATGGTTTCCCAACACGTTATCAACCACCATAAATTACTGGGAGGGTCATCTGGCATCCCAGGTATTTCCCTGTCTCATGCTGATTGGTGGCTGCTAGGGGGTTACTATGGGTCTCCACTAGCCTGACTGAGTCAGGGACACCTGGCTCAGCAGATCTTTCCTATTATTTGTAGATAAACAACTTAGCAGGGTGGGAATGTGCCTAGGAGTGCTCTGTGGGTCTTTCCAAGGACAAAGGTCATGTCCCTTGGACAGGCTTTGCTCTGAGGTAGAGGCTGGTTTTTCAAGATGACCTGCCAAAAAGATAGCATGCAGGTAGCAAGAGTAGAAACTAGACATTTTGACATCTCGTCTAGTATTCTTCTCTTTCAATAATACTACAATATGTTTTCTAGACATTTGTGAAATCACCTTGATAAAAACAGGGCATTTCTCTCCCTTTTCCTGTGTATGAGATCAACCACAGGATATCAGCTACACAAAATCCAGGACTTCATTTTTCCTCCCTACAGTCTCCCTATACCAGAGCTGGCTCACATGCCCATGGTCTCAAAGAACATCTGTTGACAAAGTCAACCCCATGCAATATTTTGGGAAAAGTTTAATTTGCTTAAAGCAGAAGTTCTTAGAAACATTTACAATTCAGTGCCTAGCTAGCTAAATATGGATTTCAAGACTAGAAATTCCAGAGTCTTATTCATGGTAATTTTGATTCAGGAAGTCTTGAGCAAGGTCCAGTTATCAAAGTTTGAAAAATGATACTGCTATGATTCTAAGGAATTACCATGTTAGGAAGCCTCTGGTTTAAAGTATTTATTTCTTTCTATTTCTCCCTCTCCATCCTAGTCTGTAAATAAGAGTAAAAAAGCAGATGAGAAAAGAAGAGATGAACAAACATGTAGCCCTAGAAAGAGGCCCTTGGGAGAGAAGTTTACCCCATGTCCTGATGGCTTTCCAGTCCTTCGTGAGCTTTTGTTTTGTTTCTTCCTTTGGATTCATTTCTTCATTCAACAAGGCTGATGCTAAAAAAAAAAAAAAAAAAAAAAAAAAAAGCAATAAGCCATCAAAAGTTCCTGCTCTCATGGAGTTGATGGTCCATTAAAGGGAGATAACAAATGGATGCTATGTCAAAACATGATAAATCTTCTGAGGAAAAAAAAAAACAGTAAGGTAAGAGGACAAAGACTGGCAAAGCAGGGGTGGGGGGTGTTACACCTGGTGACCTGGTGGTCAGGGAAGATCTACTTCCTGAGAGAGCTCTGCATCCCTACAATCAATTTGTATTGCCTAAAGCCACCTTGATTGAAGGAATCAGTAGGAGTCCTTAATTGCAACCAACAGAAACTGACTCTAATTATCTTAAAAAAAGAAAGGAAGGAAGGAAGGAAGGGAGGGAGGGAGGGAGGAAGAAAGGAAAGGAAGGAAGGAAGGGAATGGATAAAGGGAGGGAGGGAGGGAGGGAGAAAGAGAACATCAGGGGTTTCTATGAAAGGCTAAAAAGCTAAAGATAAGTTGGAATTGAGGCATCTCTGGAAAATCCACTGGTCCAACTGTCTTTTTTATTGTGATTTTTTGTGATGCTGGGGATCAAACCAGGGCTTCTCGCATAGTAAGTAATCACTTTACCCCTGAGCTATACCCCCTAGCCCCCAAATATCTTTTAACAAGGATAATTTGGCCAGGATACCTCCACCACTGCTATGGATCACCACTAACCTCAGCAGAAGTATTTATGAATCTTAATTAGCTCCTCATTTGCTCCAGACTTAACACTCCAGGTAGAAGAGGCTAAATGGTCAAGTCTCAATCACCTGCTAGTACCCTGACTGCAAATGGCAGGCAGGAAGGAACTCCCTTCTGGGAAGGGGATACCCTGGACAGTCTTCCCCCAAAGCTGCCATCTAATGAAGGATTCCCCAAGAAGGAAGGGCTTGTCTATGGACTACCGAAAGAGGAACAAATATGATGATAGCTTTGATTTCTTGCAACTAAATGAACCCTGACATAGCTTCCAGAGAAGAGCTATAGCCTAAGGCCAAGTCTAAACACAGACTGTTCTACCTCATGACATTTCTAGTGTACCAATGAGGCACAATGCCAGGTGTTAAATAGTTTAAATATCCAAATGTGAGGCGAAACCAAAATAAGATCCTTTTTACGGGGGAGAGGGTACCTGGGAATGTAGCTCATTGGTAAAGTGTCACCAGGTTAAATCCCCAGTAGCACCAAAAAGAAGAGAAGAAGGAGAAGGAGAAGGAGAGGAGGAAGTTGTTTAAGAGCTCAAACTCTGCAATTTTATTAACTAAAAGGACAAAAGGCAAGAGGCAATAGCTTACACAGATGTTTGCAATGAATCATCTTTGTTGTTGTAAACTTTGGAGAAAACTGTTAAAATTGTTACTCTAGTGAAAAGAAAAGGAAAACATTTTCAGTACTTCCAGAACAAATATATACAGAAAAGTTCTCTCAGGATCCCACAATTGTAAATGTGGAGGAACCTGTCCAAGACTTTAATCCAGACATTCTACATCATCCCTGATATGTAAAGGTTATTCAGTCTATTCCAAGAAACAAACAAAGGCTGGGAGAACTCCTGCAGTAAATTATAAGCTCACTACTTTCAAATGAAGTTTATTTCATCTTTAGAAAAATCCATTTAAAGCTATTTCACATACTGAAAAGAAATCTTACATCCTATTCCATCCACCTCTTAGCCCTGAATCCCATCTTTTAGGCTGTACCCTCAGGTACATTCACTCTTCACAATCCTTCTGTGTCTGACTTTTTCCAAAGTCTATCAGTTCCAAGGGTTGAGTTTGGAACACTTCGGGTTAGGCTCATCTATATGGTTTTTCTGCTGTTCTCCCTTGGAATCTTCTCTGCAACTGCAATCATCTGGCCCCTGAACTGGGATGGAAGGGGTCTGAGTTGTCTAAGATGGCCTCACTCACATGTCTGGTGGATATTGGTTATCATTTTGATATCCCTTTCCACATGGTTTCTCATCCCCAAGGAGTTGGACTTTCTTACCAATAGTGTCAGGATAGAAGGAAAGAGAAGATGATACAATGATTTCTAAGACCCAGAATAATAACTCCCACAGTGACAGCACTGCCACCGTCTATTAGTCAAAACCACAGACAGACTTGAATGGGTTAAAGAGGGTCGGAAAAATAGACTCTAACTCTTGGGAGGAGCAGCAGAGTCACAAGGCAAAGAGCAAGGCATTCTGAGATAGAAAAAAAAAATTGTGGCTAGGAACTGGGGATATAAATTAGTGGTATAGAGCTTGTCTAGCACCTGTGAGGTCCTAGATTCAACCACCAGCATGGAAAAAAAAAATTTGCAGCTATTTTTTGTAATTAACACACAAAGAAATAATCCTAATTTTCCCTTTGCAGGGTATTTTTTTGGTCTACTTCCCAACTGACCACTGCCTTTTCAACATACTCCAGTTGTCTTTATTCCTGCTAAAAGTAAAAGACAACCAGATTTGAAAGCAAGATTTTATCTAAATATCATTTCTCTTTTCAGAACCATTCATATTATAGGTTTTGTTAAAGTTAGAGTCAACTAAAATCTCTAATTGCTTTTAAACATATATACTATTATTGTTAAGGGATACCTCCCCTTACTTTTTAAATTTTTTTAAATATTTTTAGTTGTATATAAACAATACCTTTATTTTATTCATTTATTTTTATGTGGTGCTGAGGATCGAACCCAGTGCCTCATGCATGCTAGGCAGCACTCCATCACTGAGCTACAACCCCAGCCCCCTTTTAAAAATTTTTTGTAACTTACTTATTTATTTATATGGTGCTGAGGATTGAATCCAGTGCATAATACATGCTAGGCAAGTGCTCTACCACTAAACTACAACCTCAGGCCCCTCCCCTTATTCATGCTGGTAATTTTTTTGACTCTTTTGTAGTAGCAGTAGTAGTTAGCTACATCACTGAGAATTAGTTAATGTATGTTTAGCATTTTACTTGAATTACCTCACTTTCCTCCCCAACCTCTGGGATAGGTGCTATTATTATATCATATTAGCTAAAGACTACTGAATAGTTAGAACTCATAAGTTATCATTGGAAAAACAACTGTCTTTTCTCCAATCAATCCTGTTCTTAGGCATAAAATCTAAAGCAAATCCTATAATCTACCTGCTCATTTGTAGATAATTAAAGTCTGATTTTTAAGTTTCTGAAATAGTCTCAATTCAGAACTTAAACATGTCCATTCCTATGTAATAATGTAATAATATACTTCCAAATTCTCATTTTTGCAGGGCTACAGATGTAGCTCAGTGGTATATTGCCTGCTGAGATGCACGGGCTCTGGGTTTCATTCCCAACACTGCAAAATTAACAATAAGTCAAAAGCCAACTTCTCACTTTGCAATTACCACAGTACTGATTGATTCAGGCAAGAAGCATCAGTGTATGCTAAAATTAGTTGATGAAAGTTTGACGTGCAGCAGGAAATTTAAATTGTTTCAAAGTGTCTCCCTCCAAGATACTTACTAAATAATGAATGATAAAATTGTAACTTCATGGTAGAGAAACCTAGCAAACACCACTTTATCCAAAGGATCAGTTAAAATGAGCAATTATTGCACAAACTGACACCAGGCATTTTCTGATGTGATGCATTAAAGAAACATAGTATCAGTTATGAAATATCCTTGCTTAAAATGCAAAACTTGAATCTGGTTACCAGGAAACATCAATAAACTCAAATTGAGGGTTGCTCCAAAATAAAATACCTCTACTCAAGCTTATGAAATATAAAGAAAGACTGAGGAACTTTTCAGATTAAAGAAGAATAAAAACACATGAAAGTGACTGTAATGCATGAGAGGATCCCCCACTTTGGGATCAGGGTCTCACAGAATACTAACAATGACAGCTGTGTCCCAAACATTCTATTCTTTTTTCTCCTCTGGCAAGAGGGGTATGGTCAGCTAAATGCTGGGAAATCAGCTCTCAGCTACTTCCTCTTCAACTCCAGATTTAGTGATCTTACTTCTCACTGGGATTTGGAAATGCTTGGTAATCATTTTTAGGGTGCTCACTCAAAGTGGGAACAAGACAGTTCTATTTTATTTTGATATCATTTCATTACATTTAAAAGTTTAAATAAGTTCTGCTAGGTCACAGACAATGAACAGGAGAGTTGGGTAAAACATTAATTTTTTACATTTATGCTCGTAGAATTAATCTGCTGTTCTGGGTAGTTGTATCTCTTTAGAGCCTGATTAGGTCATTTGAGTAATTCATTCTTTCTCTTACTTATTTAAAAATCACTTACTATGATAAGAGCTTTACATACATTGACTTACTTTTATAGCTGTATCACATAGCTATTATTCACAATTAACAAATAAGAAAATTGAGCTTCAAAGAAGTTAAATGACATCCCCAAGAGCTCATGCAGGAAAGGATAAAGCCAGGTTCACAACCACATCTCTTACCTTCAAACTCATGCTCATTTTCACAGTGCTATTCACTTTCCCATATTAACTGTGCAAATTTATCTCCAGCTTTTTTGGGAGAAGTGGGTAACAGGGATTGAACTCAGGGGCACTCGAACTTGACCACTGAGCTGCATCCCCAGCCCTATTTTGTATTTATTTGAAGACAGGGTCTCACTGAGTTACTTAGCACCTTGCTGTTGCTGAGGCAGGCTTTGAACTTACCATCCTCCAGCCTCAGCCTCCCAAGCTGCTGGGATTATAGGTTTATACCACTGCTCCCAGTTTATCTTGAGCTTTATTTTATCTCTTTCTTATCTCTTTGCCAAAGAATTTTAAACAATTTTTAATGAAATGCCTGGACATATATCAGCCACAATATACAGTGGGGTGAAGCATTCATCCCAGGAGTGGAAGGGCAGAGAATATTTGAGATGTAAAAGGTTAAGGAGAGGATTATTCCAAAGTAAAACAAACAAAAACTTAACAAAGAGACGATAACTGGACTGCTGGCGTGGAGGCTCTCCTACAAAGTGAGCATTCTAAGAAAGTAGAAGTAGAAATTGCCAGTCTTCTTAAAGGGTTGGCTTGGAATTCGCACAGTGTCACTTTTGCCACATTCTCTTTGTTAACACAAGTTACAGCCAACTGGATTCATGTGGGGACTACAGCAAGGAATGATAGTGGGAGGCGGCATGTTTCATTGGAGGCTATCTTTGGAGAAAAGCTATCACAAAGAGAGAAAATTTTTTCCTAGCACTTTAATATGAAATATTTATATGTATTTATAAAGATACTTTATAGAAAATATAAAGATATACCAGAACTTTCTATGTTGACTCTTAAGAAAGTAACAATATAATGTAAGAGAAAGGCATTTCTCAAAAAACTCGAGGTAATGCATTTCAAACATGCTGCTTTATGATAATTTGAAATGATATCAAAATAAAACTTAGGAAACTTAAAGAAATGAGTGGTTAACATTTTTCTCACTTGAAAACTATTGTCTCAACAAGGAACTTATTTTGAGGTGCAATATAGCTAATGATTGAAGAACTAAGATGACCATACCAATGCCCCCAAGACAAAAATCATTAGAAACATAACTGTATTTTGAACAAGTATCAGATGATGGAAGGAAGCAAAGCTAATTATGTAATTTTGTGTATTAATAAACCTTATATAGGGGCTGAGGCTATAGCTCAGGGGCAAAGTGCTTGCCTCAAATGTGTGAGGTACTGGGTTCAATCCTCAGTACCACATAAAAAATTTTTTAAAAAAGATACTATGTGTTCATCTACAACTAAATAAATATTTTTAAAATAAATAAATAAACCATATATAGATGCAGAAATGACTAGAGTAAGACTAGAGGGGGTTGGGGTTGGGGTTCAGTGGTAGAGCGCTCGCCTCGCACATGTGAGACCCTGGGTTCAATCCTCAGCACCACATACAAAAATAAACAAGTAAAATAAATGTGTTGTGTCATCTAAAAAATAAATATTAAAAAAAAACTAGAGGTATAATTAGTAAAGATGCAGTAATCACTCCTATGTTCCATGAGAGGGAGATATTTGGTTATTTTTGTGGCTTTGGAATATGTACATGTATTCTCAGCGTTCAGTTATGATAAAGGAGTGGTAATGTTTTGTCTTAATCCATCACATAACAGAGTGGCTTATCTAATGTTGGCATTCCACGAAATTACTTTTGTTCAGCAGAAGATTACCAAGGCCTAATTGTGAGTTCCAGGCCAACACATAGCAAGATCAATGCTGAAAGGATCAGTATCAATCCAGCTTCCTGATGTCAGAGTTACTTCTCTTAATTGTAATAGCAAAACAAGAAAAAGAGAGAGAGAGAGACAGAGACAGAGTGTGGGGGGGGGGCAGAGAGAAAGAGAGAGAGAAAGTAAGTATAAATACAAGGGACTACATAAAATACCTAAATACATTGTGGTATTTTGCATCCATAGAATATTCTGCAGCTGTTAAAATACAATGGAAGAACATTTTATCACACAAACTCAATATACTATTAATTTAAAAGACTGCGTGCAAAACAGTATTTATAATATAATAATATTTGTATATAAACAATTATATATTTTGGGAAATAATCCATATGTATGTATAAAGACTGAGAATACAAACAAAAATGGTAATATTGTTGTAACTGGTTGCTAAGGTTTTTTATTTATTTGTTGGTTGGTTGGTTTATTTATTTATTTAGTTAGTTAGTAGTGGATCAAACTTAGGACCTCACACATTCTAGGTAGGTACTCTTTCCTCTATGGACAAATTTTATTTTCTTTCTACTTACCTATATTTCCCAAAGTTTCACATCATAGGTATATTACATGTGTAATGAGAAAGGCCACTGTTGTTATTCTTGCTGTCATCATCTTAACAAGGTGTAGCACCTGAGTCAAAATCCAGAAGCAGATGCTCACAGTGAGACTGAAAGAACATTCAAGGGTTTCACACACTAGTATATAGGGAGCAAGATTTACATTCCAACATATAAATTAAGTATGCTGACTTGTATTTCACTCCAAATGAGGGGTCAAAAAATAGCTTTCAATTTGCCCCAAAGGATTGGCTCAAAGTTCTAGATTTCTGCATCATTATGCAAGGAACAAGTGACCAATTATTGTGTACCAAGTACCATCCTAAGCATTTTATATGTGATAACTAAACAAATCTTCACAGTAACCCTAAAATACAAAACTATATTATTCTTCCCATATTACACAGGAGAAAACTTAAACACAGGTCCAAATTAGTTGCTAGAACAGGATTTGAACCCTGATCATCTGTTTCCAGGGTCTGTGTGCTGAGAGCCATAGCCAAGTAGGAATGACGCATGGCAATTTCCTTGTCAGCCTACCCAATGTTTCTTAGAGGGAGGACTCTCCATTGTGGAAATGGGCTTGCCTTGGACCCAGGTCATTTGCAATGACATTGCATGAATGTTTGAGAGTTTTGATTTGAAAGGTGACCCTGCTCAGGGATTAGGGTGGATCCTGCTGGGAATAGGGCGGTTCCAGGTTTAAGGTGGATCCTGCTGGTATCCTGCTGCCTCAGGTGCCCACTCCTTGAGTTCCCTGTTGAGTTCTCCCGGGATTCAGAGGGTATTTGGTACGCAGAGCCCGGTGGAGGGTGTATTTTCCCCAGAACGTGCGTGTAGAGTGCCTGTGAGAGTTCAGGAATAAAGAGTTGCTGTTTGAATCTACAAGGCTTTTGTGATGGCTCGGTTATTTGGTGCCCAGCCAGACTGTGGCATCTGTGCTCTTAATTTTTACTTGAAAGGTGGTGAAAGCAGAATTTAAACATATTCATCATAAAATAGTATAAATATTCCTGTGTTTTCCCTAGACTTCTAAAATCTGTATTGCATCCCAATGGACTAGACCTAAATTTCACAGACCAAGTAACTAACAAAAATGTTAGGCAGCACCAAGGACAGAGCCTAGCAGATTTAGAGTGGAAGCATTTCTGTAACACTGAGCCACATTCCCAGCCCTTTTTATTTTTTATTTTCAGATAGGGTCTTGCTAAGTTGTTTAGGTTCTCACTAAGTTGTTGAGACTGACCTCAAACTTGTGTTCTCCTGCCTTAGCCTCCTCCTGAACCTCTGGGAATTTCAGGCATGCACAGCCATACCCTGCTAGAAGCATTTCTTTTCTGTTCTGTTCTTTTTTCTTCTTTTCTTTTTATTTATTCACTTTTTCCTTTAATGCTACTGGGAAATTAATCCAGGTTCTTGCATATGATAAGCAAGCACTCTATCATGGAGCTATAGCCCCAGCACTTTTTAAGTTTTTTAAAATTTTGGGACAGATTCTCACTAAATTGCTGAGGTTGGACTCAAATTTATGACTCTCCTGCCTCAGCCTCCCAAGTAGCCAGGATTACAGGTGTGAGCACCATGGATTGCAGAAACCTTTCTTTAGAGCATAGAAACTGAAAATATCCCATAATTCCAATTCTCCCAAACTGCTTTTAGCAGTATAAGTTTCAAAAAAGTCACTTGGGGTGGCTCAGTGGTAGAGCACTCACCTAGCACACAAGAGGCATTGGGTTCAAACCTCAGCACCACATAAAAAATGAAATAAAGATAGTATTTAAAAAAAGACACTTGAGGAAATGTCTTCCTACTATAATTGGTTAGTGTAAGACTCTGCTTTTCATTGTGTTGTTTGTATTATTTATTACTTTATCCCTAATCCTATTCCTTTCCCCTGACAATAACCCACTCCAGTGTACTTAATCAGAGATTCTTACAATGTACTTTCTTCCATTTATTTAACAAATATACAAAATGGTGAGAGCCCATGAACAGCATGCAATTACATCTTGAATCAGGAGCAGAGAGAGTTGGGTGAGACCAAACACAGGCTTATGACAATCTTAAGGCAAGAACTACCAAGGAGTCCCATGAGAACTACCATTTAAAAGCATGTCCCAAAGACCAAAGGAATTCTCTCAGGCTTCATCTCCAAAAGGTTCCACCACTTACCAACACCAACACCCTGAGTACTAACCCTTTAAATACAATGGACCCTGTGGGACACTCAGACCACATCTAAATCATAACAGACATGTAAGTTTTTTTTTCTGAAAAGTTCTTGCTAACATTAATAATAGCAATGCAGAGTTTGTACCAAATAACTGTGGATAGTGCAACTTTAAATTTCATTTTCCCAGGAAGGCTGCAAATTGCTCTTTACTTGAAGATCTTCCATTGTTTAAAATTTTCTAATGCTTTATTATCTTATTAAAATTAAATTACTTTGAAAAAAACCTAAAAAGTATTTTCCTCACGTGTTCAAGTATGATTTTGTTAGCCAAGTACATGCCTGCAGTCCCAACTCAGAAGACTGAATTAGGAAGATTACTTGAACCATAAATTTGAGACCAGCCTGGGCAACATAGAAAGACTTCAACTCAAAGTAAGTGGGGTGGATTCTAGATGTAGCTCAGTAGTAGAATGATTGCCTACCATGCACTGAGGCTCTGGGTTTGATCCTTCACACTATTATTAAAAAAAAAAAAGTGATTTTGGTCATGCTTCATCAAGATATCAATATTTAGGCAGATCCAAATTATATATAACCTTTGATTTGCTCTGATAATTACTATTGACATGATTGAGATCAATAGATTCAAAGTGACATAAATGGTTTCAAAAATGTCTCTGGATTTTTAGCTAAAATAATGACATGTACATTATTGTATTTTAGCAATCTTTATCACAGACTTTACTATGGTACATAGTGCAATCACAAAGTTACAGACAAAACCACTATTGCCACATTGTACATCAAACTTTGTATTTACAGGGTAGAGCATAAACAATACCTTGAACTCTCATTTTCCATAACATAGATGAAATACAATGCTGTGGCAGGGGAATTAAAGGTTGAACCCACAACCCTGCATATGCTAGGAAAGCACTCTGCCACTCAGCTTCATCCTCTGCCCCATAGCCTTGATATAAATGTTCTAAATGCACCGTGAGTAAAAGTCCTAAGACTAACCTAAGGCAAAGAACTAGATATGATGTAAATAGTCTTTGAGGAGAATGGACTCGACCCCTCAATATGGTATATACTTACCAGTTGAACTAAGAGGAAGTAGGAAAGACCTAGTTTCTCCAAGAAACAAGAAATATATCCAGTGATCTCAGGTGCAGGAAGAACACTAAAGAGTACTCCTAGTGGGGCTGGAGTTATGGCTCAGTGGTAGAGCACTCGCCTAGCATGTGTGAGGCCTTGGGTTCGATCCTTTATTTATCATGTATAAATAAAGGTATTGTGTGCAACTACAACTAATATATATATATATATATATATATATATATATATATATTTTTTTTTTTTTTTTTTAAGAGTACTCCTAGGGCTGGTATCTTATTCCAAGGGCTTTGGGAACAGACTGGAAGAATAAATCCCTACCTCCCAAAACACTGGTATCAGCCAGCAACCAATTTCTACCTCTCCACAGACAGGTTGTATCCTGATGAGCCAGCTTCCTGCTAAGCTACCAAAGGAGGGAAAGAAATGGGACCCCCACCCATCCAGATTTATTTCTTAGCAGATTTTTAATCTTTTGAACAATGCTTAAAAAAAAGGGAAAAAAAAAAAGGTTTTTGGTTCTTTTTTTTTTTTTTTTTAATGATACTGGAGATTGGACCCAGGGCTACTTTCCATCACTGGTCTACATTCCCTTCCCTTTTTATTTTTTATTTGAGACAGGGTCTTCTTTGGTGCCCAGGATGGCCTCAAACTTGAAATTCTCCTGCCTCATCCTCACAAGTAGCTGGGATTACAGGCATACACCTGTAATTCAGCAATTCTTGAGTTAAGCCAAAAGCCTCTGCTTATTTACAACAGATGTAAAACCAGGCAGGAGAATCACTTCAAGTGCCCAGGAGTTCCAAGCCAGGTAGTCAACATAGCAAACTCTTGGAGCTGGGGGCGAGCAGCAGGGGGGATTCTCATATAGAAGAGTGTGATTCATTGCCATTGAATTGTATTCATTTTTACTTGCTCAAATTTAAAAAAATACCTGTTATACATTCGGAGTTTGTACAACTTAAATATATTTCCATTTAGAACATAAAATAAATAGCTGGGTGCAGTGGCACATGCCTATAATTCCACGGCTTGGGAGGCTGAGGTGGAGGATCCTGAGTTCAAAGCCAGCCTCAGCAAAATCGAGGCACTAAACAACTCAGTAAGACCTTGTCTCCAGATAAAGTACAAAATAGGGCTGGGGACGTGGCTCAGTGGTTGAGTGAGTGCCCCGAGTTCAATCCCTGGTACTACACTCCCAAAATAAAATAAAGTAAATATAAAAGTAAATTAAATTTCATACACATTTTTCAAAAGTCTTTTCTTCTAAAATATTCAAAATCATTTATTAAATTAAAAGGCATGTGGGCACAGTGGTGCACCTATAATCCCAACAGCTCAGGAGGCTGAGGCAGAAGTATTGCAAATTCAAAGCTAGCTTCAGCAATTTAGCAAAGCTGTGAGCAATTTAGTGAGACCTTGTCTCAAAATAAAAAATAAAAAAGGGCTGGAGATGTTGCCCAATGGTTAAGTGCCCCTGGGTTCAATCCCTGGTACCAAAAAACAAAAGAACAACAACAATAAAAGGCAATAATTAATGACTATCAGAATATCTAGTAAAAATATTTAAAATAAAGCCAAATTTTTATGAAAACTAGGCAAAATCTTTTGATATATTTTTAATCAAGTAAAACTATTCATAATTCTAGCACTGTGTCCATTTCATTGCCAGTATAAATAATCAGTTTTCATATTAAGTCTGTTCTATTTAAACTACACCTGTAGGGGCTGGGGATGTGGCTCAAGCAGTAGCGCGCTCGCCTGGCATGCGTGCGGCCCGGGTT